TCTCTCTCTCTCTCTCTCTCTCTCTCTCTCTCTCTCTCTCTCTCTCTCTCTCTCTCTTCCCGTCAGTGGGTGTGTTGTTGGGAATCTTTCCGTTCATTGCCATCCTCCACACACATACACACACACACACGTTTCCTCGAGACTGTACAAAGTCACATACGAGGTGTGGCGTAGGGAGTGGACGTAAAGAAGAGGAACAAGAAAAAAAAAAAATAGTAATAATACGAAACACCCACGCGCGTACACGCACACGTGGTCTACGTGTGTGGGACAGTTTTTTTTTTTTTTTCTTTTCCGGAGCTTCTTGGTAGTGCTTTAGGGGAATGTGGAGACAGTCAGCCTCCATGATCAGCGCAAGGGGGAACCGCCAAAGCAAGCCACCTTTAATGGAGGATGACGAAAGTGTCGCGGGCCCATTCTCTCCGCGAAATGAACGAAATCCCAGTAAGAAAAAAAATGAAGTTGGCATTACCGTCACCGTTCGTATCCGGCCCTTCTTGCAGCAGGAAAAAGTTGGGGAAACAGATGGAAAGGGACGTATGCTAAATGGGCTAGATGAGCCCGTCGTTGATGTGGATGCGGACGGCAAAACGCTTCTGCTGCGCGACCCGCAGAGTAGTGGTGGGTCTTCTCTCACCTTTGTATTTGACACCATTTTTTCCTCTCTTGCGCCTACTGTTGACCTGGGTGCTTCTGGCACCCGCAACCACGAGGGTACTGGGTCAAACAGGCAGAAAGGCTCCCCACGGCATGTAGTGAATGGCGCGGGGGGGACATTAGAGCTCCGTGTCACCCCTGACGACGCTGGAAATTATGCTGTAGAGCAGCGATGCAGCACCAACGCAAGAGAGGAGGAGCAGAAGCAGGTGTATAAGATGTTGGCCATTCCTGTTGTGGATTGGTCGCTTCGCGGATTCAACGCATGCATTATTGCCTATGGACAAACAGGTAGTGGCAAGACCTACACAATGATGGGTACGCCAAATTGCGAGGGGCTCATTCCGCGCCTCTGTCGCCTGCTCTTTACTCGCATTGCCGAAACTAAGATGGTGGAACAGCAGTTGCTGCCATCGTTGTTACCGAGCGCTAAAAACTCACCAGAGTGTAGTTTATCCGAGCACAGCAGCAGAGCGAAAAGTGAAGTGGGCGATAGGTATGCGCAGACGCTGGATGCGTCCATGTCATGTCTGAATTACCCTGTGGATGCGCGTCTAGCGAAAGTGACCATCTCCTTTATGGAGATTTACAATGAACAGGTACGGGACCTGCTTAAGCCAGAGCGCAGAAAAGGTAACATCTCGCAGTTCAGTAGTCGGTTTCACTCGGATCCCATGGACGCGTATGAGACGCTGAGGGTTCGACAGCACCCCTTGTACGGTCGGTTTGTGGAGGGTCTTACCACCATTGAGGTGGATGACTGGAGTAAGTGTTTGATGTACATCAAGCAGGGAAACGCCGTGCGGGCGCAGGCGAGCACCAAGCACAATGAGAACAGCAGCCGGTCGCACGCCATCTTTCAGATAGCTTTGACGCAGACAGTTCACCTCGGCGGACGTGTGCGCGGGAAAGAGGTGACGACGCACTGCACCTCCAGGATTAACCTCATTGACCTCGCCGGGAGTGAGCGGCTGCAGAACATCAGCAGCAAAAAACATATAGTTGCCGAGACCAACGCCATCAATTTGTCCCTTTCCGTCTTGCGCCGTGTCATCACTGCGTTGGCGAACCGGGAGAAGTTAGTGCCGTACCGTGAGAGCATCCTGACTTACGTGCTGGCGGACAACTTTGGTGGCAACTCCCACACCATCATGTGTGCCACTATCTCCCCACACCACTCAAAGTCTGCGGAGACGGAGTCCACGCTGCGGTACGCCTCTCTCGCCCGTGGTATCGTAAATAGTGTGAAGGTCAACGAGAAGCCACACGCCAAAATCATTCGCGAGCTCAAGGAACGCATGAAACAACTGCAGGAGAAGCTACGAGGTCAACACGACGGGGAGCAGGTGGTTGCGTTGGAGGGAAAGATTAAGGAGAAGGCGTACGCCCTCGAAGAACTGCGCCAGCGGGAGGAGGAACTGCAGACTATTGTTCTCGCGAGTCGCCAGCGCGAGAAGAAGTTGCTGGAATATCTGAAGAAGAACCAGGCTGCGAAGGACATGTGGAGACAGAAGGCGCAGAAGCTCAAGGAAGAACGTACCCAACTTATCATGGCCGTGAAGGAGCGCGCGCGGCTCTTCCCAGATCTTGCTGTAGAGGACATTATTAAACTCGCCAACGAAGGCAGTGAGACGGAGAGTGAAAGCGTGCCTAGTACCACCTCTTTGGCGTATGCGTCGCTGAGCCAAGAGTGTCTGCCGAAAATAATAAACGTTGCATCGAATTATGAGGAGGCTCTCGAGTACCCCATCAGCTCCCGCCCATCGATGCGAATAGGACAGAGACACCAAAATGTGGGTTCTTTCGCCTGCAATGCGTCTTCTCGTGTCTCTTACAGTGGGGTTAACAGCGAGGCTAGCGAGAGCAGGGGTAAAAGTTTAGACAGCGTCATTAGTCATAGCAGAGGCGGTGATGAAAAACGCTTCTTTAGCGTAACAAGAAAATCGTTACCACAGGAAGAAGATGTGTCGTTCCTGATGACACCTCGCCCGCACCCCATGTCCTTCTCATCGAGTCCCAATGGGGCCAACGGCGTAGCTGTTCCTTGTATGCCTTACTCTTTGATGCAAGATGAGAGGTCCAAGGAAATGGTAAGCAAGTCTTTTGGTCGCAGTGTGAGGAATGCAGACAAACGAAAGGATGTCCCATTGAAGTTGACTCCGTTGCAGGTGCCACACACGCCAGAAGCGGCCGGTGCTATGAAGAATAAGACAGAACGGGGAACCTCTGGCCGCTCAGTATCACGCAAGCCCCGCTCGGAAGAAGGGTTTCAGTGCAGGATGCGTGGCAGAGGTTCCTCTTCTGGTGAAACAACTAGGCGGCTTGCTCCATCCAAATCCCCTTCGCTGCGGGCGTTGAACCCCACGGAGAAGAAGTACTCCGGTTCTCGCTCCCTGCTCACAAAAAGACATTAGGGTGCTGTAAACGTGTTGGCACGGAAAGGCAAATGAAGAGGGTCACGGAGATCTAATCTTGTTTGTAGCAACCCTCAAAGTGTTGATGAATGCTTTGAGGCAGATGTCTTGCGTGTCGCTTGTGACGGCCTTGTCAATAGGGTGGGAGTGGAAGCATAGAAGTAAGTTTTGTTTAGTCATCGCTAAAAAGCAGTGTGTGCCGCTGTACATGTTTTGTTTTGTTTTTAATTAATTATATATATATATATACGTGTTTCCCACGTTTTTCCTCATTTTTCCGAAGTATTTCTCTGATATTTTTAAGCATCACAAGGCGCATGTGGGACGCACAATTATGTCTAAAAGTGTTTCTTATTTTTATTATTGTCTAGTGAAAGAGGGAGAGAGGGGAAGGAGGGGTTGATTCCGCTCTTTTTATTTCGTGGCTATTGTATTTGTTGTTTGATCCATTGGTCTTGGTACTGCGCGTTTTTTTTGCCACACGCACCTGGTGCGAGACGGGTTGAAGATTGACGGCGGAGGCATAAGACACGGCGTAGAGGGCCGGAGGGGAGAGAAGGATGCTTGGGCACGTGATGACTGTGCCCTTGTAGAGATCATTGTTGTGGTTCTTTGTTTATTCCTGTTTTTGGTGCGTATGTGTGCCGTTGTACATGTTTTGGTTTGGTTTGTTTGTTTGTTTTTGCGCTGATGGGCTCTCAATTGAAAGTTTGTTTGTTTGTTTGTTTTTTGTTTGTTTGTTTGAATGGAGCCACTGGTACTACCACCAACCGGTATTTCTGCTCTTTCTGGTCACTGGTGCCACGCATGCGCTGCTGCATACACGCGTCGGTGGTAACCTCTTTCCTTGTATATTGCTCCACTCTCTCTCTCTCCCTCTCCCTCTC